ATCCCAATTCCCTCCAAAGTCAATCACACATGCCCTCAATATGTCTTCTAACACTTGAATAGTGCTCTCTGACTGCCCGTCCGTCTGTGGATGGAAAGGTCTACTAAAAGTGAGTTGTGTGCCAAATTCATCATGTAATTTCCTGCAAAACTTTGAAGTGAACTGTGTACCATGGTCTGAGATGATAGAAAAGAGCACCCCGTGCAGCCTCACTATCTCTTTCACATAAACCTTAGCCAACTACTGATCATTATAATCTATCCTGACCGAAATAAAATGGGTTGACTTAGTCAATCTGTCAACCACTACCCAAATAGAATCAAACTTTCCCAAAGTCTTGGAAAGACCAATTACGAAATCCATAGCTATCCTTTCCACTTCCATTCCAGAATTGGCATTCTCTGAAGCAAACCTACAGGCCTTTGATGCTCATATTTTACTTGTTGGCAATTTTGACACTTAACCACAAACTCCGCTATATCTTTCTTCATGCCAGGCCACCAATAAAATCGCTTCAAATCTCGGTACATCTTGGTCACACCCGGATGAATGAAATACCGCGAACCATGGGATTCTGTCAAAAATTTCTGAATCAAGTCATTTACTCGAGGAACACAAATCCTTCCTTTAAAGCTGAGAACACCCCTCGCATCTAAAGTCACATCTTATGTCTTACCAGACACTATTTTTCTTTCTGAGCTCATTCAAATGCTCATCCTCAAACTATTTGGCCTTGATCTCCTCAATGAACGTAACCCTTACTTCAATGCTAGCTAACACTCCATATTTTTCTGAGATGCCCAACTTCATGAACTTAGATTCCAAGGTTTGAATCTCCTTAGCCAAAGGTCGCTTGGATACACTCAAGCAAGCTAGACTACCCATACTCACCGCCTTTCGACGTAGTGCATTTTCCACTACGTTAGCCTACCCGGATGATACTGGATGGTCACATCATAATCCTTGAGTAACTCCATCCACCTTCGCTGTCTCAAATTCAGATCCTTTTAAGTGAACACATGTTGCAGACTACGATGATCAGTAAATACCTCACACTTGACACCATAGAGGTAATGTCGCCAGATCTTAAGAGCAAACAATACCGCTGCCATCTTTAAATCATGTGTTGGGTAATTCATGCACCTTTAGTTGCCGCGCTACATAAGCTATAACATTCTTATTTTGCATTAACACAACACCCAAACCCGAATGTGAAGCATCACAATAAACAATAAAATCTTTACATTCCACTGATAGTGCTAGAATAGGTGTTGTGGTCAAAAGGGTCTTGAGCTTTTGAAAGCTCTCCTCACATTTTTTGGTCCATTCGAAAGGTACCTCTTTTTTGGTCAACCTTGTCAGATGTGTGGCAATAGAAGCAAAGTTCTTCACAAATCGTCGATAGTAGCTCGCGATCCCCATATAACTCCTAACTTCAGTCACAAAGCTAGACTGAACCCAATTCTTAACTGCTTCAATTTTTTGGGGATCTACCATTACCCATTCCCTTGAAACTACATGCCCCAAAAAGGCAACTGAATTCAACCAAAATTCACACTTAGAAAATTTCGCATATAACTTTTGTTTCCCAAGAACACCAGAACAATAAGAAGATGGTCGGCATGCTTTTCCTTATTCTTTGAATAAAATAAAATATCATTAATAAAAACTATAAAAAAACAAATCGAGAAATGGTTTGAACACACCATTCATCAAACTTGAAAGTTGCAGGCACATTTGTTAACTCGAACGACATAACTAGAAACTCAGTGTTCATAGCGGGTCCTAAATGCCATCTTGGGTACATCCTTAGGCTTAATCTTTAACTGATGGTAACCAGAACTTAGATCAATCTTTAGAGAAAACTGACGCACCTTGCAACTGGTCGAAAAGATCATCTATTCGAGGCAATGGGTACTTGTTTCAAATGGTGACCCTATTCGATTGATACAATGACATTTTCTAAATGTCGTATTATGATGTTTAAATTTCACAAATTTATTTACCGACATTTATTTTACATTTGGACCAAATATCGTTTATTTTTGTGTCAGGGATTTTTCCGACATTTAGGTAATTGTCGGGAAGAATTTGTGACATTTAGGTAAATGTCGAAAAGAATTTGCGACATTTACTTCGCAACATATATGTAAATGTTGGTAAGATTATTACAACATTTATTTTTTGACATTTATGTGAATGTCGATAAGAAATATATGACATTTATTTTTGACATTTAGGTGAATGTCAGTATGAGATATATAACATTTATTTTTGACAAATAGGTAAATGTCAGTATGAGATATATGACATTTATTTTCGACATTTAGGTAAATGTCGGTATGAGATATTATATGACATTTATTTTCGATAATAAGGTAAATGTTGGTATGAGATATATGACATTTAAGTAAATGTCGATATGAAATATATGACATTTATTTTTGATAATTAGGTAAATGTCAATATGAGATATATGACATTTGTTTTTGACATTTAAGTAAATGGCGATATGAGATATATGACATTTATTTTTTTTAAATTTATGAAATATCACTTAAACTTTCTGATATTTAAATTAAATGTTGGTAAAACAAATTTCAAGACATTGCGACATTTATAAAATGTCACATTGAAATTTCTAACACTTAATGCTATTATTGAATGTCATAAAATTGGTGACATTATTTTATATTTTGCTAAATGTCATATTAATATTCTAATGTCGCTACCAAGTTTCTTTAAACATCCCAAAAAATTCTATATATAGTTTTTCTCAAGACACAAATACATACAAACAATTCATGCATTTAAAACTATCTTCTTCATGACAAGCAAGAAATATTATGTAAAGCAAATATTTTCTAATATTATAATCAAAGAACAAAATAGCAATATAATAAGTTTTATGTAAAAGTAAACAATGTCAGAACAAATTATCTTTTCTATCTCAAGTAAAATTGAGATCTAACTAAATGCAATAATCTCAACATAAAACCAACTAATTAACTCCTAATTCAAATGAAATTAAAATCTCTTAGTAAATTGTCAATAAATCTTTATGAAATCATCAATCCAAAAGTCGAGCATGTTCATGAAGTCGATACTTGACCTCAATTTCCTTAAAAGCTCTGCACAAGAAATTCACATAAGAAAATTTATAACTATATAATAATAGAAATTAGACCCCCATTAACTAGAACAAATTGGGATATAAAAATGCCGAATTGAATTTTTCTAAAAACAATATTAAAGAATTAATGCAAAATCAGTAACTATATACATGAAATTTTACTCCTTTTGAAAGAAAAGAAAGATCTTGTAGTTTTTTTTAAACATACCCACTTCTTTTTATTTGTGCCAACTACGGTAGTTCCAGTCCTCTTGATCATGTTAGCCTAAGAAAAAACATTAACTTGATTATTTTGATCCTTTACGAAATACAAAACTTAACATTTCATAGAATACAAAAGTGTGTCAATTTTTCCAGAAGGAAAATAAAAAAAGGTATAAGGTGTTAAATCAACTAATGTAGCTCAATCGATACATGCCTGCTCTTTGATAGTGCATATTCAAATTACAGGTAAAATCAAAGATAAATTGTCAGGATTGCTTCAACAAAAAATGGAATAACATTGATTCCAGAACGAAATACAAAACTTAACATTGATTGCTTCTAACAAAAACTTAACAATTATTTTCATGGAATAACTCCGACAAAGCAAGTCACTATTGAAAGTTCACATATTCAAGTAATAAGCAAGCAGATCACATATAGGTCGTCCAACAATTCCTCGAATTTGCGAAGAAAAGAAGCGGTCCACATCGCAATTTCAGAGAAGGAATTAGATTGGGCTCGGAAAATAATTTCCCTAGAACAAGATGGTTTAATTCATATTAATGTTGATGGGGAATCGATTGTAATAGTTCTATTCGTTTTGCTGCTCTCAAACATTTCCCCTGGAAACATGTATGAATACACGTTCTGGAAACATTTTGGTCATTTCTTAGTTTAAGGCACCTCATGAAAATGACTAGCATGTGAACAACGAACTACACATTGGGAGAACAATACTTACCTGCAATTATAGGTTTGCTGTTCATATGACTGTCAAACTAAAACTTTCACATTCTTCCTAGGTTTGCTGAAGTCAAATATAGAATATGCCAGAAGAGAGATTTAGTTTACAAACACCGACTCCGCAATAACAAACTCAGATACTCTCTAGTCTCTAGTGTCAGGGTTGTGCCAGAAGCTACAAGTACCCAACTAGAATTACTAGCACAGTTATGTCAAAGATCATTCAATCAACTACTACATCTCAGATCCAAACTATTTGGTGAATGAATTAGAAGTCCAGAACATAGAGTAACTGGATGAGGCATTGTTGCAGATATTCATCCAGAATCTAACTAACAGAATTTGAAAGCCTAAGCACAGCTCAATATGCGCATAACATCTTGCAAATAGGTATACAATAAAATTTAATCCTCTTTCTATGGAGTTTTAGTCGAGTCATAATTATATCTCACTTAAGATATTCTATGCAGTATGATTAAATAATGACCAATAATTGAGGATTTCATGATTCCTCACTGGTTTGAGAAAGACACATAAAGCAAACACCTGATAACAACATATTTTCCCTGAATAATTTGTATTCTACCTCACGATAATCACCTATCCTAGAAGGTGATATATTTCCATTATATCAGTAGTTAACAATGAGGGCTGATTCTGCAGTAAAAAGCAGGATAATTACAGGGTGAAGAGGTGGTAAGTTTCAAACCTGTTGGCTGACTGAGGTTAGGCTAGCTAACTCACAGGAAATTTCTCGGTTACCAAAGAGTATTAAAGATTTACTCATTCACATTTCCCACAATTAGCAGCCAACACGGGGGAAGAAACCAACACAGTATGTAGACCGCAATAAACCTATGCTCCAAATTCTACACCTTTTGGTTCCTCAACATAACTAAAGTATTCTTTTTCTAGCTCTCAAGAACCCTTTTCTACACAAATAATGGCTAGAAGGTAAAACACACATTTGCACTCAGGACTCTTTTGTTTATTTTGCATGTGTGTTAATTTTTTAATTCTTTTTTACAGGTTCCTACGTACATTGGAGCACAAATTATAGCATCATTTTGTTCTGCATTCATTCACATTGAAGGTAGTTTTGCACCCAATAATGGGTGGTGGAGTCACTGTTCTTTCTGGTAGTTATGTTCAAGCTTTTGCTTAGGAATTCATCATCAGCTTTAATCTCATGTTCGTTGTCACTGCTATGGCCACCGACACTAGAGTTGTGAGCATTTACTCTGCGTTTTTTCTGTTCCTACTTGGCTACTTGTTAATTGGACAAAAATCACACACCCCTATTTAATTTGTAACTAGATCCTTATTATATAGTGGTTTGTTTATTTATTACAACAGCAAAAACATATCCGGTGCAATCTCATAAGTTGGGTCTGGAGAGGGCAGCATCATTACCAAGAAGAAGAGCCGAATCAGCAGGAAGAAAAGTGGCAAACTAAAAAAAAGAAGAATGACAAAAACAATACAAATAATGAGGAGAGACCTAAGACACCTCAAGAACACATGGATCAGGCAGATTCCTAGAAAAGTCAGTCATACAGGTAAAAATATTATTACTCATATAACTCTTGTATTGATCTTGTTGAACCAGATCAGTCCAATAGTCCAGGTACAGGCAAAAATCATCATGTAAACAAGGCAGCGGCTGGGAAAACATAGGCCAAACTATAGGTGGGAGAGCTTGTGGGAATTGCGGTAGGTGCCACAGTCATGCTTAACATACTAATAGCAGGGTAATTAGCTACAACTCTTGTTCTGTTTAAACTGTAGCCAATAGCCATGTGGTGTTCATTTTTGCATCTTGGAGTGTTCATCAACTTTCTATTGCCCCTTTAATAATTCGACAAATCATGTATTCCTATGTAACTATATGAATATTAATTAAGAGCCAAGATGTTTTAGTCCTCGGGACTTTCTTTCAGACTAGTGACATATCATCTAACAAGTACTAATAATCCTTTTTTGGGCTAAACCATAGTCTCCCGATCCGATGACTGCCTAAAAATCATAATCATGACGTGTAAGACCTAATAAGAGTGGTCAAGTAAGAACTAAACAGCAGAATATGCAGTCGAGTGACGGGAAAAATAATACAACATCACAGATAAACTCAAGGCAGAATCATTACCAAGAAGAAGAGCCAAATCAGCAGGAAGAACAGTGGCAAACTAAAGAAAAGAAGAATAACAAAAACAATACAAACAATGAGGAGAGACCTAAGACACCTCAAGAAAAGATGGATCAGGCAGATTCCCAGAAAATTCAGTCATACAGGTAAAAATATTATTACTCATAACTCTTATATTGATCTTATTGAACGAGATTAGTCCAACAGTCCAGGTACATGCAAAAATCATCATGAAGACAAGGCACCGGCTGAAATTAATCGACCAACTGTTAATTACGCGTCAAAATGAACATACCAATACCAGAATTACAGATTATAAAATGATACATTCTGAGGATGAGTATGATCAGGACACACAGTATTTGGAAGAAAATGAAGATGAGGAAGATGAGACTAGTGCTCACATTATTAAAGCATTTGGAATAATGAAATGACTTGCACCATTCTGGAAACATAGGAACAACATGTTACTTGCAGTTTCAAACATGTGGAAATCAAGGAAAATTTTATGATTTCTGTCATCTATGCTAAGTTTAAAGACTACATAAGAATAATTCTTTGGGATAGTGTGCTTCATCTCTCCAACATGGACACCCCTTGGTGTACCATAGGTGATTTTAATGAAATCTCTACCAGTGAGGAAAAACAAGGGGGTCTACCTTACAACATGAACAAGAGTTTTGTATTCACAAGTGTTATAGAAGCTTGTGGATTGTTGGACCAAAGTGGTTAGGAGAGTTTGGTGCCAGTTTTTCAATTTTTGAGGCTTAATGCATGAAAGAGTTGATTGTTGTCAACAACCGAAGATTCTAATGTCAGATCAAAATTTCGTCAGTTCCATCAGCTACGGATGGGTCCTTTTGGTTTAGTGTGATGTTTGGTTCGGGTTTCGAGCCTTCTGTTTGGAGGGTGTACGATTAGGCATTTTAGCTTTTGTGTTTTGCCAAAGTTTGACCTTGGTCAACTTCTTGGTAAACGTGCTCGGACTGGAATTCCGTCAATGTAGTTAGCTCTAGAAAGCAAAGTTTGGTCTAGAATGACCTTTGGTTTGGTTCCCGAGGTAATCGGGATGAGTATATGGTGTTTAGCATTTTTATGGTGAAAACTAGAAATAATATGATAAATTAACACAGTTTATAATTTCATTATACCAGCTGAACAACAACAACAACAACAAGAACCAAAAGAAAAAAGATGACCACTTAGACTGTTTATCTGTACATGACGCGCAATTAACAGTTGGTCGAGTAATCCATATTCAACAAGAAAGAGGAATTAGTTGATCTCGTGATCATATAAATGTTAGGATTTACGCAATTAAAATAAAATTCAAAATTTTAATGAAATTTTCTCTAACCTTTCTTGTGTGAACACCTGGAACAAGTGATGATGGTTGTTGACAATCTTCAAGTGGGTTATCAGGAACCTATTGCAAAAGAGGAAGACTTATATAATTAAGAGAAACTAAGTTTTCATCTAAAAAAAGTAATTTTTTGTGAGCAACACAATTATTTCACCTACTCTGATTTTAAATTTGCATCAATATTAATTCCCAAAGACTCTACATATGCTTGTATTCCTTCCTTTACTTTATCCTCTATAATTTCTTCCATATCCATTTTTGCTTCTGATAGTGTTCTCTCCATCACTTCCTTATTCTCTTTTGTTTCCTCTTTCGCTTCTAACAACTTTTTATCCATCGCTTCCATCTCTTTTTTTGCTTCATACATCTTCTCTGTCATCTCAATTTTCTTAGCCGAGGTAGCTTTTTGAACTTCCATCTCAACCCTTGAATCAAAATATCTTTTTTCAGCCTGAGATCGTTTATATACGGGGCCATATACTAAGCTAGGAGATGCTCCTTTTCCTAGAGTTCGGACAATTCCATGAGTGTCTGATCCCATTACTTGTTAGTACACATCATTAGGAGCACTTCCAGGGACATTCAACTCAGGATACACCTCGGCAAGATCATCCATTTGTTTCTTTTTGAAAGAAAGGTAAAGTAATGAGAAGTTTTAAAAAATATTGTAATAGAATGAAAGTACCTATATATTTATAAAGAGTACGAGTTTACCATAACTTCACCAGCTATCTCATTTATTGGTTGTTTATTCGCTCTAATGTGAGTTTTTTTGAACACCTCAATACGAGTTGGCTTTACGCCATTATTCATCTTTGTCATCCATTTGAATAGTAAGAGATTGACATTAAATATTCACGATAAGTATTACTCCCTCCGTCCCATTTTATATGATGTACTTTGATTTGGCACAAACTTTAAGAAAAATGAAAAGACTCTACAATGTTCCGAAAATACCCTTATTAATAAGTCTAATTTGTTAAATAAAAAAAATACTATATCTGACTTTGAATAGAAAAGTTTATGACTTTTCCCTCTCTCATAAGTTAATGTCACATCAGTCATTAATATAAATCCAAAAGAGTCCAATTCAAGAATGGTAAAATAGAGATAATGTCATTAAATATTTACCAAATAAGGAAATGTGTCATTCTTTTTGGGACTGACCAAAAAGGAAAGTGAGTCATATAAATTGGGACAGAGGGAGTATTTAATATATAAATTATAGAAAATAAATAGTGATTACTTCGTACATCGTCTATAATTTGAGAATGACTTTTTCTCCCTGATGTGTGTGGCATAGTCAATTTTTTTCGACTTTCTTTGTTTTTCTCACTCTTTTCCTAGAAATTTGAACACAACAATATATAGGAGGACATGCGCAATCTTGAATATATAAAAGAAATAGCCAAGAAAAATATAAAAAACAGCATAGTTGAGTTTCACAAAGTGCAATCAATTTCTATATAAGAACATTTTGTGCAGGTTGGCAAACTGGACATGTACAACAACATTATTTCTGCCAATTAGAAGAAAGGTTCAAATAAGAAAGAACTTCTAGTTGTTCTACAATAAGAAGTATAATCCGGGAAAACATGACTTTAACAATTTATGACAACTTCAATGAAATTCTCATTTAGTAGAGCAAATGCAGAAATAGAAGTCTAGCACCTACCTTTGCTTCTTTTGAGCTCCAATAATGAACTAATGAGCGCCACTGATCTTCTTCAACTCTATCTGGACAATGAGCTAAACGCTCAATATCAATGTTATATGGGTCATAGCCAATGGTTTTTACTTCATGCTTTGATTCTTTCCATTTAGATCCAAATGACATCATCAGTATGCGTTTCATGTCATCAGTTGTGTCAGTATTTTCCTGTACATATATTTAATACACAACTCATTTAGAAAAAAAAATATAAAAACAAAAACACCTTAGTATATAGGTTTTGTGTATACTAAGAACCTTGATATGAGACCATAATCTATCCTTGTACATACTAGGTACAAGCCTCCAATCTTTATGATTCAATGGCGCTAAGATGCCATTTCGTGCTAGCACACCAAGTTTTGAACTCAATCTAGTTCCTTCTAACCCAATAACTTGGCCATGTGCATTCAATTCAATATGTAAATTTCCACCTTCTTTCCCCATCCCGAGTGCATCATAGTGGGACCCCTAGTTCACTTAGATTGCTCTTCACTCTCATTAGAATCTATAAATAATCAAAGATAAAAAGAGGCAAATTTATTATTTATATAAAAATTATCTAACTACTTTATACTATGAAAGGAAGAATAAATATCATGATATTTAATACCTAGAAGATTTTCTGTATCATGTGATTTATCTCTTTCATTTTGTGGCCAATTTTGGGGCGGTTGAGGCATTGGAATACTTCCGATTTGTTGTTTTTGTTGCTCCAAAGAATCATATAAAAGCTCACATTGACTAAAATTTCTGTCTTTTTCTTGCCATTTCAACAAAGTTCCTCAACAGCTATGAATCCTGCCAAATTTAAAGTAGTTTCTACTATACAAAAGTATAAAATAATATCTAACTATCATGTCAAATAATAAGACATATAAACATATGAGATTTTAACAACTGAATGAAGAGTAAAAAACATCAAAGTCATTATTGTTCAACAATCAGTTGTACTTAAATAGCGATTATACTACTATAGTAACAAAAATTAAGATATGTTGTCATCTTAATCATATGCTTCATTACTTTCCAAAGTTTCTGGGTCAATTTCTAATCCTGGTACTCCTTCTCTAACCCATTCAATGTCTTCTTCACTTTCAAATGTTGTGTCATCCAATTGTTGTTCAGGCCACAACTCCATATGTCCTTCCTTATGCTCAATTGTTGGTGTGTTATCACCTAAATCATAAAAACCTCTTGGCTTAAGTTTAACAACAATTCGCCACTCCTTTTCCATAGGATGATCGACATAAAACACTTGTTGATCTTGAGAAGCAAAGATGAATGGTTCATCCGATAACTGATGTCTTGTATAGAGTAGATGATTAAAATTCACAAGAGTAAATCCATAATCATCTTTCTCAATAAGCCCTTTGTTATTGTTCACCCATTTACATTTAAACAATACAAACTTGAGATGCTTGGTATAATATAACTCAATTATGTCTGTGAGGATTCCATAAAAAGAAACCTCTGCCAATATGGGATTTTTATCTTTTGTGCTTGCATAACTTTGAGTGAAAGCCTTTAACATAAGACCACTATTTTGAGTTTTTCTCTTAACATCACGAGACTCTGTTAAGTATCTAACTCTATCACATATATAGCCGGTCATTATTTTTGCTTGTATTAATGGGCCAATAGTTAAAGTTTGAATATCCTCGGAAATTTGTTCACTAGCCATATGCATCTTCTCGACCTAGCATTCAAAAATAAGATGTGATCTAAAAAGTTATAATTATCTATATAGTAATATATGAGCAAATATTTTAGCTAGTTGATACTTACATGATTTCTAAACCATAGTTGAAATCTTTCATTATGAATTCGATCCACATTATGTCTTGATAGACGATGATTTTCCTTCTTGATTTCTTTTATATGTTCACTACGGAAGTAAAACACATAACTATTTAATAAAA